AAGAATCTCAAAGACCCACTTCTAATTTCTCAAAAGTGAAAAACTTCAATTCTTCAAAGCTTAGGAAAAACTAGAGAAAATTGTCTACCCAGTTCAAAACTCAATAATAGATTAAAAATATATGAGCTAAGATACTAAACTAAATGTTCAAAAATGTATTTATAGTCCCCAAAAATGTGCTGCAAAGAGTCACTCGGTGAAGTAATTTGGGCTCGCCGAACCACTCGGCGAACCGCCCTTTGGTCATTTACATATCCCTTCTGCCTTAGCATTCAATATCCTCAAGGTCTGTAACTTTGGGTGATCCAACCCTGCATCGCGGAACCACTCGGTGATCCACCGACTACTCCTTTCTTTTGCCAACTTGTTTTTTTTTCTTCAAGGCTTGGCACACTGGAACTTTAGGCAGTCAAGTAGCCATTCGGCGACTCGCCAAGTGGACTTGGCGATCACTAGGCTTGCTTTTCTTCATTCTTTCAGCTTGTTTTGTTTCTTTTTGCAAATTAGTGTCCTTGCTTTGTTCCTCAATCCATATACCTGGAAATCAAAGGTTTTACATTAGTTATAGGAACAAAGTAAGCATTTGAGGACACTAAATCTATATAAATAAATCCCTAAATGAGTCTAAATTTCGGAGTCATCACCTGTTCATTGGAAATCCTTCACGGCGTGCATCACGACACGTTGTGAGGACCACGACCCGTCTGGGTGTCCGTCGTCCTTACTTAGCTATCCCAAGCGTACTTCATCAAAGCCTTTGCACTGGTTCACTTTCACGAACCGTCAAGGGAACCACGGCCCGTCTGGGTGTCCGTGATTTTTACTTGGAAAAATAAAAAATAGCTCCTCTAGGCATAACTACTGGATCTTCTTCACGAGTTGCTTCATGGTCCGTGGAAGAGACCGCGGCCCGTCAAAGGCGTCGTGGTCTTTACTTGAGCTTTGATAATTTTGCCTTCTTCACTGCCTTCATTTCATGAGCGTCAGGATGGCTCGTCTTGATTACCACGGCCCGTACTAGGCTCCGTGGTGTCTCCTTCATAACCATCATTTCATGCTTCCTTTTCAAATTTTCCACGCAAGTGTGAACCTGTCTAGACATTCAACGAACACGTCAAATCTTATAAAACTACACTCGATTCTAGTATTAATCCTTAGTTTTGAGCATCAAATATGCCAAGATTTCATGGCACATCAACACCCTCAACTTAGAACCATTACTTGTCCTCAAGTGATGATAAAAACAAAACATTTGACGCTCAAATCCCAAAGACACAATACTAGCATGTAGCAACCATCTCAACCACACTTTGTATCCAAAACCATCTATCTAACATGCAAGGATCAATGTATGACATCTCATTACTCACCTATTCACTGTAGGAATTTATAGGCTTGTAACATAGGCTCGGGCTAGGGAGTGGAATATATGGTTTTGTGAGTGACTATTTTACCTTGGTTCTCCAAAGTTTAATTAGCACACAACTTTCTCCGCGCGATTCTATCTTCTTTCATTTTAGTACATCCCAGCAGCCACACCATTTACACCAATAGTATATTTATTTATTTGTTTTTTTGACGCTACCAGATTCTTTGAAACATGCACATTACTCCTAATCAATTGAGTAATTTGACTTTGTGCCTTAGAGATGATTGAGTGAACCTTTTTTTTACACTTTTTCCTTTCTACTCTGGGTGCGATCACCCTCAACTTAGGATTTTGGCTTGAGTTGTGGTATCGTATCATTGGAGACTAAAGGATATGATATCAATGGGTAAGAACAAAATTACTTGCAAGGGGTCATGCTTTCATTTGGTAATTTATTTTTGGTTTTAAGTGGGCTTAGCAAAAAGGTCCTAATGATCATCTCTTATCCAGTTATTTTCAGATTTTTGCAAGACTACTTTGGCAAGTTCTAGCTTCTGCACCTTGTGGACAAACTTCATGCAAACCTCACACGCACATGACACATGTCTACATTTTTCGGTTTCTTAGTTAACCAATTTATGTTTCAAGCTAGAAATGTTCAACATACTAGTATCTAAAATGTCATTCAAAGAGCCCAAAAGTCATATTTTCCGATTAAAGGCATACATGTTATTATTTCAGACACAATATAAACTCACAATATAACTGCTGCTAGCGCATGTTCTCAACTCAAAACAGACACAATTTTCACAGATTTCCCAAAGCACTCCATACCTTCGAATACTTAAATGGTAGGTTGCTCACCACCCCTCCCCAAACAAAAGGACTTTGCCCTCTAAGTAAATAAAGAAAACCACTAAAGGGCTGTGAGGAAGGGACATAACTACGGTGCACTAGGCACCAGTTGTCGGAGCAGTGTCGACACCCTTATCAGCGGGTGCACTCTCAAAAACTTGCACTGGGTCAGCTGGACTGGTAGCACTAGGAGCTGGTATTGCACTGCTAGAAGTACCAACAAACAATGCATCTCACTGCTGCTGCTCAAGTGCTGCTTCTTCCCTAACTTTCTTCTAGACTTCTTTCGTGGTTTCTTGTGCTGTATCCTTTCCTCCTTAGAGAGGTTTATCGGTTGGTACTCATCAGACTTCCCTGCCTTGTGCTTTCTCTTGCCAGATTTTCCATTGGGCACTTCGCCCCAGAAGTCATCAAGGACCTGAGTGGTAGGAGGCTCAATGAACAGGCTCATCAAGGACTCTGGAACAACCATGTGAGGTATAGTGTATGGCCTCTTGGCCAATTTAGCAATCTCAGCTCTCATCTCAGCCAAATGTGTCTTCAACTCCTCCGTATTTACCAAATCGGGAGCTTGATTCTTGTCATGGACCTCAAGACCATCCATCCTATATTTAAGTACTGTCAATTCTGTCTGCATCTTATCTTTTAGACGCTTCTCCATAGCTAACACATCTCGCTTAACTACCTGAGGTAGTTTGAGCACAATCTGGTTGACTATGGCCCGTGTCTGCCTCTGAACTGCAACCAATCTCTCAAAAAGTGAGGTAGGAATGGTGATGAAATTCTTGTGGCCTTGAAGGTTGAAGCTGGTGGTGGTTGTGCCCCTGCAGATTGTTGTGATGATTAACCGAATTTAGGACCTCTTTCAGCCTGTGGAATGTCGAGTGGTACATTTGGTACGACTGCCAATGGTCCCACTGCTCCGACCTTCACACCAAAAAGATGGTTGACAACATCTTTGATTTTGGATGCCACGGTGAGCTTGTATGCCTCAGTCAATCTGTCTACTAGTTTATTTGGAGGAATATTGGCTTGTAGACACAGTTTTCCTATCAAATAGGGAAATGGTAGACCGACTCTCTCATTCAGTGCTTTGTCCCGCATTTCTATGGCGATAATCTAGCGTACAATGACTAGGTAACCAGCCATGAGGCAAGCGACCAGTGATGCGAGGGATGGTGACAAAGTATTATAATTTGCTGTAGGCTGCAACTGTGCACGAACAACAGGCCACCAAACCTTGGTCGGAAATGACACTGATGCCTTAGTAATCTGCACCTGTGTCCCTTTGACCCATACTGCATTCTCACCCTCTGAGGCAATTAAGCTAACAATCCAATGCATGACCCGCTCTCTTGAAGTGGGATCCTCCATCTCAGTCTCACTCGTCACTGCATGATGCTTACCTTTAAAAAGGCAAATTGAGGGTGGTGCTGTGTATTCTGGACCATGTAGCATTCTGTTGATAGTGGCTTTAGCGATATCTACTGATTTGCCCCTCCCCACTATAGAATTAAGTGGTCTCCATGTGCTGGTGAACGCTTTCTGCCCCCTTTTTGTAGTTTCAATGTCAATAACAAAATTCATCAGTACAGCTGCATAAAAGGCATATAATTCTCGGGTAATGTGGCGGGAGAACTCCCCATGAGATTTGTTTATCAATACAAATTGATGCATTCGGAATATTTTGTAGATGTCTGGAAATGCTTGGATATCCGATGCCACTACTCTAGTCTCAGGTATGACTGACCTACTACTAAAGCCGCCCGACTCGGACACGATTCCATTCTTGAAGAAATCCTCCAACCTGTCCACAGTCCACATAGAACAGTAGCAATCAATTAGCTGTTGTCTCACCACTGGGTCAGGTTCATGTAGGTGAACATATTGGATCATTGCGTCCTCGGTGCTGTCATCATCATCATCATCTTCTTCAGAATCTGCTTCTTCCTATGCTCCCATTTTGGTTTCCACTCCTCCCTCCGATTGAGGTTCAACTGCACTATACTGAGAGCCGCTATCATATTCCTTACCACTCCTGAAACCGCTACCAGATTTCTCACCACTCCCAGATCCACTACGTTTCTCTTTAGGTTGGGAAGGTGTATGCTGTAAGATCGCTCTTGCTGTCCGTGATCTAGTAGCTCGAGGGGAGTGATCTTCAACTTCAGTATTTATCTGGACCTCCGAGCTACTAGATTCTGCATCATTCTCACTTTGAGTTAGTGGGGGAGGTGGTGAGGTATGTGTCGGTGCACTCTTTCTTTGTGGCCCCGTAGTACCTGAGAAATCAAATAAAAAATGGATTAATAATCTAACCAAGTAAATGACGCACTAATGGGTACTCAGACTTCCCTTGTGTAAATACAACGTGACGCCTTGCCTTACAAATTTCGTCACCCAATCTATCATTGGGAAGGGCCACGTATTCAAAATGAAAAGTTGGATTAACTACAAAGAAAAGACAATATATTTTTTTTATACGGTGGTTACCACGGGTCGTGGTAGGTACCATGGTCCGTGATGTCCTTCGTGACATGAGACAGTGTGGAGCATTTCACTGGTAAAACTAACACGAAGGGTACCACGGTCCGTGGTGAGGACCATGACCCGTTATGCCCCTCGTGATGAATTTCCAGTGTATCAGACAATGTTCAAGTGTAGTCCACGAGAGGTTTCACGGTTCGTGCTTCCTAGCACGATCCGTGAAACCTCTCGTGTACTTACACTTGAGCAATTTTTGACATGTTGCCACTCAATCCAATTTGATTACTTTCGAAACTATGAATCCTAACATCTTTAGTATAGGAACACCCTTTTTGAACACAACCCACACATCGTAGTTATGAGTATCAACGCGTCAAGTGCTACGATTTTGACTATACCCACATATGACACCTTCGCTATTCCTAAAATCCAACCTATTTTATCCACTAAATTCACATGAGCACAATTCAATTAATTAATTCTGACTCAATTTCACATCCACATCATCATAAACCACAATCCCCACAAACGAAAATTACAGATTTCAACCAATTTCAACATACCCATAACAATTTACTACCAATAACAACAATTCACCACATAATAATGCCTAAATTCGACCAAACAAAGTATCTCTAACTTGCCTATCGATAAGATCAAACTTATAACAAGTATTTAGTACTTATTTTGAGTTTTCCCAAATTGTCACCCAAAAGAGAAAGAGATGAACTTCACTTGGATTTCTTGGCACTAGAGAACTAGGGTTTTGAATCTTTGTTTGATTGTGGGGTTATAGGAGATGAGTAACCGTTTAATAGTGTTATAAACCGTTACAAATGAGATAAAATAGAAAACCTCGACCTTTGGTGCTTTGAAGAGTATATAAACAATTTAAAAAATCTTTACTTTCACGCGGGTCGAGTCAACTGGGCATTGGTGGACTATTATGACTGGCTGTGATGATACTCGTGGAGAGCACCATGGTCCGTGAACATCACTTGGGCGAGAAAAGTTACCTAACTCTTCTGTGAACCTTATGGTGTCATTTGCAGTGGCTTCCTGAAGATTTTTGGTGACTTCAACGGACCGTGGTGTAGCTCGTGAAGTGCACCACGGTCCGTGAGGATGCCCGTGAAGAGCTCCCCCACTTTTAGCTTCCAAATCTTTTGGCCAACTTTTTCCTGCACATACCAACATAATATGACACTATAAAAACATTGAAAAATATGCTTAAATGTAAACTACCTATTACATTTACAATCTTGGGTTTCCTCCCAAGCAGCGCACAATTTACCGTCGCGGCGCGACGCAGGTTACTTGATTACTCATACTTCATCAAGCTTGAATTCCTCAACTATTTTCACCTCCTCCGGGACTCCCAAATATTCTTTGACTCGCTGAACATTGGCTTTGAACCTCTCACCATTGTCATTTTCAAGCTCAATTGCACCCGACTGAAATACTTGAGTTACCTTGAATGACACAGACCATTTAGATCTCAGTTTCCCAGGATATAAACGAAGCCTGGAGTTGAAAAGTAGAACTAAGTCACCAGGACCAGAGGTCCTTTTATCAATGTGCTTATCATTATACAAATTCATTCTTTTCTTGTACAGTGCAAACCTCTCATAATCCCTCAAACGGATTTCATTCATTTCATTTATCTGATCCAGTCATAGGTTTGCTGTTTCACTCCAACTGAGGTTCAACTTTTTTAGTTCCCAAAGTGCCTTATGCTTCAACTCGACCGGGAAATGACATGCCTTTGCAAACACCAACTGATATAGGGACATACCAATGGGTGTCTTGAAAACTGTCTGATATGCCCTCAGAGAATCATCCAACTTCCTTGCCCAATCTGTTCCGTTGGCATTCACTATTTTGCCAATATCTCTTTGATCCCTCTGTTCGATACCTCGACATGACCACTTGTTTGCGGATGATATGGTGTTGCTACCTTGTGCTGTTTAACCCCATATTTGGCAAAAAATGCACTAAACACCTTATTACAGAAATGTGAGCCTCTATCGTTGATAATCGCTCTAGGTGTGCCAAACCTTGAGAATATGTTCTTCTTTAGAAAACTAGCAACACTTTTACCATCATTTTCAGGCAGGGCGACTGCCTCAACCCATTTGGACACATAGTCCACTGCCACCAATATATACTTATGTCCATAGGAGCTCACAAATGGCCCCATAAAGTCAATCCCCCAAACGTCAAACAATTCCACCTCTAGAATGGGTGTCATTGGTAGCTCATGGCGATGAGAGATGGCTCATTGCCTCTGGCACACATCACACCCCTTGACTAAATCAATTGAGTCCTGATGGATTGTAAGCCAGTAGTATCCACTCTGGAGTACCTTGTGGGCAGTATGGGCACCCCAATGGTGATCACCTATTGGAGAAGAATGATAAGCCTCTAAGATACTCATCATCTCAACTTCAGTTACACATCGCTAGATGATGTTGTCAGCACACACCCTGTATAAATAGGGTTCATCCCAGAAGTACTTCCCAACATCATGAAGGAATTTCTTCCTTTGATGGAATGTCAGCCCTTCAGGCATCAACTCAGTGGCAAGAAAATTAGCAAAGTCAGCAAACCAAGGAATGAGATCAAGAGTGGCAGCTAATACCTGCTCATCTGGGAATGAGTCATTTATGTCTAACTTGAGTTCTTCTTTCTTCTTTACCTCCAACCTAGACAGGTGATCAACCACCTGATTTTCACAACCTCTTCTGTCTTTGACTTCAAAGTCGAATTCTTGAAGAAGCAACACCCATCTTATCAATCTCGTCTTTGCATTTTTATTCGCCATTAGATATCACAGTGTTGCATGATTCGTGTGAACTATCACTCTAGTGCCTAGCAAGTACACCCCAAACTTCTCAAATGCATAAACCACAATAGGTAGTTCCTACTTAGTGACTGTGTAGTTGCACTGCGCTCCATTTAGCAATTTGCTAGCATAGTAGATCGGGTAGAAGATCTTATTGCACTTCTATCCTAACACAACTCCCAAAGCCGTACCACTTGCATCACAGATCACCGCAGATGGTTCCACCCAATCCGGGCCAATGATTACTGGAGCAGAGACCAACTTCTCTTTCAGGCACTCAAAGGCTTTTAGGCATGCATCATCAAAGACAAATTTCACCTCTTTCCCTAACAGCTTGCACAAGAGGTGTGCAATTTTTGAGAAATCCTTGATGAAACACCTATAGAATCTTGCATGACCCAAAAAACTTCTAATACCTTTTTCACAAATTGGTGGATGCAACTTTTCAATCATCTCAATCTTCGCTTTGTTTACCTCCAGTCCCTTCTGCGACACCTTATGGCTTAGGACTATACCTTCCTTAACCATAAAATGGCATTTCTCCCAGTTAAGCACCAAATTAGCCTCCTCGCATCTTTATAATTCCCTGCTAAAATTCAACAAATAGTCATCAAATGTGTCACCTACCACAGAGAAATCATCCATGAACACTTCCAAAGTGTCCTCCACCATTTCTGAGAAGATGGACATCATACACCTCTGGAAAGTTGCTGGTGCATTACGTAATCCAAATGTCATGCGTTTGAATGCAAAACTACCTTAATGACATGTAAATGTGATCTTTTCCTGATCTTCCAGCGCAATTGATATTTGGTTATACCCAGAGTATCCATCTAACAAACAATACCACCCTTTGCCAGCCAACCTCTAAAGTATCTGATCCATGAACGCCATGGGAAAGTCGTCCTTCAAGGTCCACTTGTTCAGCTTCCTGTAATCCATGCATACTTGCCAACCAGTGATTGATCTTTACCTAATCAATTCATTCTTTGCATTAGCCACTACTGTCATACCACCCTTTTTGGGAACACACTGCACTGGTAATGACTGTCAGAAATGGGGTACACCACCCATGCATCCAACCACTTTATGATTTCCTTTTTGAACACCTCTTGCATTGGTGGATTTAACCTCCTCTGGTGCTCTCTTCTCGGGCTGCAGTCCTCCTCGAGTTGGATTTTATGAGTACAAATACCCGGAGGTATCCCAATGATGTCAGCAATAGTCCAACCAATCCCCCTTTTATACCTTTTCAAGACTCTGACCACAACTTGCACCTGTTCATCAGTCAGATTTACAGCCAAAATGATTGGCCAAGTGTTATTAGTACCCAAAAAGACATACCTTGGGTGACTAAGTAACTATTTTAGTTCAAGTGCAGACGGTTCCTCAATGGATGGCTTTGCTAGAGGATTTGGCCTGTTTTTTAGATCCAGGTCTAATTTCTTCGGAGCATAAGAATGTGACCCCATGCCTTGCAGAGCATTTAGAATCTCCACATAATAATTTTGAAAGTCTTCTTTATATTCATTAGTACTACATCCAATGTTTCACCAATAAACCTTTCCTTAATTGTAGCTCCCGGCTCTCCTTCATCAACGAACTCTATCGCAGACACCACATTCATGTCTTGTGGTTGCTTCATAGACCTGCATATTTTAAAATTTACCTCCTCATTGTTAAGTTTGAACTTCAGCTCTCTACTCTCAACATCAACTAAAGCTCAACCTATGGCCAAAAATGGCATTCCTAAAATTATGGGAACCTCAAAGTCTACTTTCGCAATCCAGAATCACGAAGTCTGCCGGAAAAATTAAACTGTCCACTTTTATGAGCACATCACATAAAATACCTACAGGACGCTTCACTGACCTATCTGCCATCATCAACCTCAGCGTAGTGGGTTTTGGAAAACCTAAGCCTAATTGCTTATAGATGGCTAGAGGCATCAGATTGATACTCGCCCCTAGATCACACATGGTATTTGCGAACTCAAATGCTCCGATTGTGCCTGGTATAGTGAACGTACTTGGATCCTCCTTTTTCTTGTAGTAATAACACTACAATGATGAAGATTTTTAGTAGGTTCAAAACTTACAACTCTTTTTTTTGTGACTAAGTCCGTCATGAACTTAGCATAGTCTGGCATCTGCTCCAGAGATTCTACCAATGGGATGTTCACTTATAACTGTCTCAGCATGGTTATGAATTTTGCAAGCTTCCCATCTTCAGCTTTCTTCTTGAGTCTTTGAGGGAAAGGATGAGGCGATCTCGGTATCTGCTGCAAAGGCAAGGTGGTCTCAACTTTTGTTTATTTTACCTTCACTGGTTTCACTATTGGTTGAGCCCTCAACTTCAACATCTTCTTCCTTATTTCTCCCTCTACTCCTTTCCTTCTCAGTACCTGCAGGTTTTGACTCATTAAGGATCTTACCGCTTCTGGTGGTGATCGCCATGCAATGCCCATCCTTCTTAGGATTATGAATAGTGTCACTTGGTAGCTGATTAATAACGTTTCAAAGACACTTCATCCACTTCTAAGCGTCAACAGTCGTTAATCAGTATAATAACCTAACTAAATGAGTTGGGGTCGAATCCCATAGGGAGTGGTACGTGTTTAAGATTTAAGAGTAAATTGTGAACATATTCAAATCAGTCATAGGAATAGACATTATCGAATGAATACATAATTCAAATCAGGGTGTGACACGAATGTCAAATAAGGGGTTTTTGGTTTTAATTATCAACTATAGCAGCAGCAAAACAATGCTAAAATGACAATGATGAGGTGGGTTCTTGGGATGTGATTTGATTATAGGCTAATATAAACGAATGGGTAATTGCAACAGTTAGGAAATAGGTGTAAATTAGTAAATAAGCTAGACTATAGAGGAGGTAAACTTTATCTCGAACAATTTACCCCGAATCAAGTCGATTTCTCTCGAACATCGACAAGCATGCAAAATACGGACATCCTACGCTTTAGTCCATTCACTCTCTCAAGCTGAATGTGTGGAAAAGGGTTTAGGATTTAGTCTTTCGAGTTGAACCCATGACAACCCAATACTCACAGACCATCAATCAATAATCTTGGTTTTAAAACCTCTCTCTCTCGCAAGCCGAAAACACGAAGGTAGATCTGCATTTGCAACTACAATTCTTAAATTGAACCACAATTAATGATTGAAATCACTTCTAAACAACATTTTAACAAACAATTAGCAATACCCATAAACTAAATCAGCCCATAATCACATAATCACACCCCGATAATTTGGTTTTTAGCTAGACACCATGAAAAGATAAAAATCGTTACCAAATTAAGTTTCCATCAACTAGGTAAGATTGATTTCGTCTTTACAAAGGTCCAAATTGAAGAATCTCAAAGACCCACTTCCAATTTTTCAAAAGTGAAAAACTTCAATTCTTCAAAGCTAAGGAAAAGTTTTCTCAATACTCAGAATTCTTACAATTCCCAATTGAAAATTCAATGTAATGAAAAATATGATACTAAACTAAATGTTCAAAAATGTATTTATATTTGCCAAAAATGTGATGCGAAGAGCCATTCGGTGCAGTAAGTCGAGCTTGCCGATCCACTCGGCAATGCGCCCTTTAGCCAATTTCATCGCCTTTCTGTCTTGGCCTTCAGCATCCTTAAGGTTTGTAAATTTGGGCAATCCAATACTGCATCGCAGAACAACTCGGCGATCCGCCGATTGCTCCTTTCTCTCGCTGACTTGATTTTCTCCTTTCAGAGCTTGGCACACTGGAACTTTAGGCGGTCAAGAAGACCTTCGGCGACTCGCCAAGTAAACTTGGCGATCACCAGGCTTCCTTTTCTTCACTCTTTCAGCTTACTTCGTTCCTTTTTGCACATTAGTGTCCTTGCATTGTTCCTCAATCTATATACCTGGAAATCAAGGGTTTTACATGAGTTATTGGCACAAAACAAGCATTTGAGGACACTAAACCTATACAAATAAAGCCCTAAATGAGTCGAAATCTCGGACTCATTAACACCCGCAACTTAAACTTTTTCTTGCCCTCAAGTGAAACTCAAGTTCAACAGTTCAAAAACGATGTCTGAAACAGTGATACACAAGACTCAATCAGGAATACACACAACAAGACTCAACTTACTTCTGCAAGGATCAATTCTGCACTCAAAGATTCAAGTTGTGACTCACCATTATCAAAGATTCTCAAGTTCAGAATACTTGCTTCAAATGCAAGTTCAAGCTCAACAAAGGTGTTAAAATGCCCTCACACAAAGCTGATTCCATATTCACACACAATTTTTTGATAATTATAGCTTCGGAATCACAAAAAAATCTCACACTCACAAAGATGAACACAGGCATGACTACAGCCATATGTTTGCCCTTATTTTCCAATCAACACTT